TAACACCAACAGAGACTGAGTAGAAGATTTAATTATTCCAACTGCATAGGACATTGTTTTTGAGAAGTTCTTTTCCTTTATATAGGCTTCCAACACCAAATAACCTAACTGCTGGAAAACAAGAGACATTTAAATCTCCAGATAAGTCATTAATATACTATACTGCTTCTTAAGCCAGCATTGCTAATCAACATTATATTTATTTTTCTTTTTATAATTGAGCTGCAGTAGCATTGCTTATGTCATGTGTTTATTAGCAAGTATTTTAAAACTGAAAATGTCTGAACATAATTTCATGGAAGACGATGCTGACCATTATTCAATGTGCATGAGTTTAGTGCAACACATGCAGACAACCACCACAATGGAGAATATGAAGAAACATGAATATGTGTGGCAATGTGGAAATATCATCTAGAAAATTACAGCTCTGGTTGATTTAGTTGATCATCATCTCAGTCTTCAAAACATAACAACCTGAGATATGGGAAGTCATAGTGTTAAGGAAGCCATTGGAATATAGATGGGAAATATGGACTTTACAAGTATATATTACATATATACTTATAATGTGATATGGTTCTATAGATCATTTTATAATAATATTTTAATTTATCATAATTTATAAAAGAAACCTTTGTTGTTTGTCTGTTGAAGAAAATGAAGGAGCAGGAAAAAACCATTACTGCAAAAACACTGTTTCAGCCAGTGAATTTGGCATGTCTTTTCCCATCAATTCAGGACAAAAGTGCTACTGTAATGAGATTTATTTTTAAAAGACTGATAACACACTATTTTCATATTTTTTGTTTATTTGCACAACTTTTGAACCAGGTTACTGGTTAAAATTCAACAGAACACAATTTATAAAGTAAAAAGATTTTATAATGAAAACAAATATAATAACCAGTGCTGTGAAATGCAGAAAGAAGGCTTTTATTTGGTTATGGGTTTGTTTATGGTTTGCTTGTTTTTTCTTTAAGAAAACCCTGCCTAAAATGTTAATCTTGTAAAAAGTGTATATTTGGAATTTTCTGTTTTATTATAGAATATTATAAAGTCAAAATATAATAAATTGTTTTCAGATTTGGAGTTAAAGTATAGCGGTAGAAGTGGCTTTGATTCTTTCAGATGTCTCATAAAATGAGACTTTTTATATGTTAATGTATCATAAAACTGAAACAAGATTATTTTCCATTTGAAATTTTTGTATAGTTTAAAAATGCTTCCATATTCTTTGTCGGTATTGTGCGACTGCAAGACTTTAGTGCAGAGTTTATATTTAGCTAAACTGTTATGTTAATTAAGAAATGCATAAATCTTTTATTCTTAATATTTGTAATTCTAAATAAATTGATCTATGAAAATTAGTGTTGTCTACATTTTCAATTAATACAACTTAATAAGTATTCCTTCTACTGAAAAATTTTAAAGGGCTTCCCTGGTGGCGCAGGGGTTAAGTCTCAGCACTATCAAGTTATCGCTAGCCACTGTGGCATGAATTTGATCCCAGCCAGGGAGGTAACCCACATGGCACAGCAGACCTCTCCTGCCTTGCCTGCTGCTCCCTCAGCAGTATATTTCAGTAGATCTGCCTATTCTGTTCCCTACTCTGTCTCTGGTGAATCCTCTCACCCCCCACACTCTGGCCTACACCCCAGTTCTTGTGTACATAAATAAATCTTTTTTTAAAAAAAGAAAGAAAAATTTTAAAGAATTGTAATTTCCATGAAGTCATTTTTTAGGGAATCAGTACAGATCAATTACCATGTCATTTTAAATTACAATACCAGCATTATTTTAGAGAGGGTTTTTTTCTAACTCTTGAATACTCATTGTGGAAAACACTAAATGACTAAGTTACGTAGCTTACTTACTATACACATTTTTTTACATTTTTTTTTGTTGTTAAATATCTTACCATGTGTCACAATTAAATTAGACCTCATTTTTGCAGATATTTAAGTACTATCCATGTCTTTCAGTGCCATCTTGTGTTGACAGCAGGAATTGTACCTTAGGATATATTTGAATTTTCTGTTTAGGGGAAAAGAAATCTCTGTCACATTCAAATTAATCATTGTGGGTCAGCTGCACATAAAGTGATACTGCCACTGCTTAACATAATTTGAATTCTAAGAAAGCTATCAAAGCCATAGTGAGTAAGCATGCAAGCACATCATGTGTTGTATAGATTTATTTCTGAATTACTTTGTTAGTTCCAAAATTCAGATTCACTTACTATTGAGAATCTACCAAAAGATTTGCCTATTAAATTTTTTCTTTTGAATTCATGCATCTTTCTCCATCTTCATTATCACCACTACTGTCAGGCCAGCTGAAATGCTGCATTCATCTCCTGACCTATTTTAAGATGGTACATACGAGGGTGGACTGAGTAAATTAGTCCTACCTTTGAGTCCTGGCCATTATTTCATAGCTGTGTGACTGTAAGCCACTAATTTTCTTGATCTTTAAAACAATGTGGCAGTAATGAGGGTTAAACATATAATATCTGTAACCCACTTAGCAGTTAGGGTTTACGAATTTGAGAGAGGTGCACAGTGCACAATTTAAAGAAATTAAAAATGTAACCAGATTGAGTATTTGTAGATTTTCTAATTGTTCACTGGGACAAAGATACAAGTACAAAAATACAACTAATAAATTAATTGCAAGATTTAAATCTAATCCTTAGTGGAATGTAAGTTTAAAGTCTATGTCTTTTAGTCTTGTGGATCACTCATTTGGTGGAGTCACAAGTCTAGATGCCCAGGAAGCTCTCTGTAATTGTTAGACCTGGTTATCCCACAATAGGCCCAGAACACAATCTTTGGCACATACTAAGCACTTAATAATGTTTATCATCTTGATTTTTGGTTTCAGACAAGTTTCAAGGATTCAGAAGTCAAGTCTTCTAAAGCCTGAACTATGTCCTGGTTGCTTTTACTAGTGGATTTGGGGCCTCTCTGGTGGCACAGGGGTTAAAGACAGTGCTATCAAGCTACCACCAACCACTGTAACACAAGTTCAATCCCCAGCCAGGGAGCTACCCACATGGCACAGCAGACCTCTCCTGTCGTGCCCGCTGCTCCCCTCAGCAGTGTATTTCACTCAATCCACCTGTTCTGCTCCCCACTCTGTCTCTGGTGAATCCTCTCATCCCCCGCACCTCTGGCCTACACCCCAGTTCTTGTATGCATAAATAAATCTTTTTAAAAAATAGTGGATTTGCTAAGTGAAGAAAGCAAGCCACTTGAATAACACCTCTGAAAATTAGGGCTACTTCCATGTATAATCTCTAAGGCATTCAACAAAGCTCAGACTCCTCTGGTAACCAATAAAACATGAGTCCCAGCCCTACCCACAGTTTATCACAAGTTTCCTCCAAGGTAGTTTACAAAGAAACCTCACCCATGGTTTCCTTTGGCCAACAAGGGCTTGAAAACTCTCAAAACAGCACTTTAATTTCTCTCAAATAGTAATTTACATGATTAAAAATAGTAATTTACATGATTCTTTGTATATAAATGGCAAAAGAGAAATCTGAAACCAGAAGACTCATATTACTGAACTTTGAACAAGCCAAAAATAGGCTTTTGTGTTAAATTTCCCAGCACAGTGGCATGTTGATATGATGGCTAGCTACATTTACAGAAACTTTTCTTTTAGAAATGTTTTTCATGACCATACAATATGTCCTGAGCAATCGTAAAGCACTGTGGTAAGTGCTGTCTAAAGGATAAAATTCATTTTAGTAGAAGTACAATGAAACATTTGTGGAAAACATTTAATGATCCACTAAGGTTGTACAGAAGTACAATAACAAGTGCTAAGGGTAACTGAGTGATTGATTGAAATAACAGGTACAAAATCAGGACTAAAAGTTTTAGGCTTCAGAAAGAGGGATCTCAAGTGTTTTTTTTTTTTTTTTTTTTTTTAAACAGCTTGGCACAGTGTGTATACCCTATTTTTTTTTTTTAGAGGCATGTTTATTTATTTATTTGTTTGTTTGTTTGTTTGTTTTGTTTACACATGCACTGGGTACAGCCAGAAGCACGGGAGGGTGAGAGAATTCACCAGAGCCAGAGCGGGAAGCAGAGCAGGCAGAAGGACTGGAGTACACTGCTGAGGGGAGCAGCGGGCGGCAGGAGAGGTCTGCATGCCATGTGGGACCCTCCTCTGGTGCCCCGGGAGCAGCCGGGGATCGAACCAGCGCCACAGAGGCCGCAGGCAGGTTCGCAACCCAGCGCTCAACCGCTGCGCCACCGGGGAGGCCCCTCAAGTGTTTTTGAAAGAGGCCGGTTCCAGCACTGAAAAGAGTGACTTTGAGGCAGGTGTATTTTGTGGATGGGTGACCTTACAAGGTCTGCCCTGTACTCTATGGGTGTCAGTATCTGAAAGGGTAGCTGAAAGGCCTTTAGAATTTGGTAGCAATTTGAAGCTACTACTGATCTCTAAAAGTAGTTTTGTTTTTTAAATTGAAAGGCTAGAGGCAGGTAGCTCTTGATATTCTGGACACAGAATCTTTAGAACTACGAATGACTGTAAAGATGACAGGCCAAATTTTAAAAGTAGTAAATCTTGGTGATAGGATGAGGATTGAAGGAGACAGGCCAGAGTGTTTAAGCTTTCCGGTAAGGTATAAAACTTGAAGAAACCATGAGAAGATGACAACTATCAAACCAAGGGGGAATCTGAGTCAAACTGAGGCGTTCTTGTGAAGAAGATAATGAGGTCTGAAAAACCACTCCAAAAAACATGCACAAAACTGGCAAAAGGAGCATGGATTCGGGCCAAATTGGATGTGTAAACTTGGAGGTACACCGGTAAAAATGAATGCCAGCACACCTGAGGGGGAGGGCCGGATGCCATAGAACAGACTGTGTGGGTAAATGTTCATAGGTGAAGGGAGGAAGCGTCGCAGGTGAGAGATGACTAAAATCATCATCAAGGTTAATATGAATGTGTTCTTAACATGGAAGTCAAAAAGGGCAGGTTTTTAGTGTGTGTCTCCCTGGCTGTCAGTCATGGCTTCTCTGCGCTTATCCTGAATTCTCCCAGAATCCTCAAGAGTTACCAAAGGCAGAAAAAATGTGTTCCTCCCATGAGTCCGGCTTTGAACCAATGTCTTCTGAGAGAAGAGAATAGTTTTCAAAATTCTGACCTTGAGAGCTAGGGTCAGAGATGGCCCCTCCAGCCCTGGTGGGATCAGGCAGGCAATTCACATCTACCTCAAGAGGCAGCTGGGGCTTCAAACATTTTGCTTCAGTTCCATGAGTACAGTGCTGGAGGAACAGCGCTGGCCTGGATGAAGATTGAAAAGATTTCCCACTCTGACGCCGTGATTTGGCACGTCTGTTTTGGAACCACACCTGGAACAAAGGAGAGAAAAACTGCTTTTGGTTATAGTCCTTATGCTATTATCTCTTTCATAGTTCATAATAAGTTCCACTTGAACATGTCCTGTCTCCCTGCTCCAGAACCTTAAGGTGTCCAGAAAGTACTTGGGCTGATAGTTATCAGTGCCCCTGGCTTTCTTACCATTCTCAGATGCAAAATTGGAATAATGTCTCATTCTATCTAGGTATTACATAGGGATAGGCAATGAAAAATAGAGTCACAGAAATAGATGTTCTTAGAATTTTAGGGGAAGCGCCTACTTGGTGGTGCAAGGGGTTAAGCACCGCACTATGAAGCAATCTGCAGCCTCTGGAGCACGAGTTCAATCCCTGGCCAGCCAGGAAGCAACCCACATGGCACAGCAGACCTCTCCTGTCTCGCCCGCTGCTCCCCTCAGCAGTGTATTTCAATCAGTCTGCCTGTTCTGTTCCCCACTCTGTCTCTGATAAATCCTCTCACCCCCACCCCACACACACCTCTGGCCTACACCCCAGCTCTTGTATGCATAAATAAAAAAATCCTTAAAAAAAAATTTTTAGGGGGAAATGCTACTCTGTAAAGATGACACACATTACAATAACCTAGAGAACTGATTTTTGAATGTGTGCTCCCTTGTCAAATTAATCAAGGAGGTATTTTGCTCAATGGATTTTACTTTTGTGATAAATTGCTCTGCTCACTATTTCCTCACAAATCCTGAGGATGTCCTGCTGAGGAAGCCTCTAGTGCCAACTGTTGAAACTGGCAAATGTATCCCACCAGGGGTACAGAAAAACAGGTCCACTCCCACTGTTAAAATGAGGATTCCCACTTAAAATTGAACTTGGAAATGGGCCCAGGTGCCACAGACTAACAGGCAAAAAGAAAGATTCCTCGTTACCACCAAGTTTCAAGATTCTCATCAAAATTTCTTTAGACAGGGCCTCCCTGGTGGCGCAGGGGTTAAAGATACAGCTAACACCAACCACTGCTGCACGAGTTCGAGTTTGGGAGTTCATGCCTGGCCAGGGAGGCGACCCACATGGTGCACCGGACCTCTCCTGTCTCCCTCAGCAGTTCTTTTCAGTTGATCCGCCTATTGTACTCCCCACTCTGTCTCTGGTGAATCCTCTCGACCCCCCCCCCACACCTCTGGCCTACACCCCAGCTTTTGCATGCATAAATAAATAAATCTTTTTTAAAAGAAAAAAGAAATTGCTTTAGACAATTAATGCACTTTATGATAGATTTTTCAAACTGTGACAAGAAGCACGATATACTTCAGGCTTTACCCCCAAAGGCTACATCCTTTCAAACCAAAATTGCACACCCAATACCTGCCAAGAAAATGGCCTAAGACCCCATGGATCAACTTGCTAAGGCAGCCCTGCCCTCTCTCAGCTACCCTTCTCAGACCAGAGGGAAACTCAACTGCTTCGTCCATCCATGTCTTCCTGGCTAAGGAATAAATGTGAAAATACTTCCCATCACCTTCCTGCTCAGGGTTTAACTTCTGACCATTTCAAAGCACCAGCCACCCTCCTGAGGGGGCCTTATACTCACAAGGAGACAAGTCTTTTAAGCCTCACCATCGCCCCGTGCAGCAGGACTGACAGTCTCCCTATTATGCAGGGAGGCTCCGGGGAAGCAACGTGCTCAACGTCAGCCAAGCCAGCGGGCCCCGGCGCACAGGGGAAGGGCCGGGCTGCGCGGGCCGCTCACCTGGATCCTGGACTCGGGGAGCAGGGTGAGCGCTGCCAGGCGCTCGCGCAGGTGGATGTCTGGGTACATGGTTCGGCGGAAGACGAGCTCCAGCAGCTGCAGCTGCTCCGGGCTGAACGACGTGCGCTTGCGGCGCTGCGACGCCGACGGGGCGGCCGAGCCTTTAGGGGGCGCTGGCGGGCCCAGGCCGGCGTGGGGCGGCGCGGCGGCCCCCGGACCCCTCTCGAGAAAGCCCGCGAAGGCAGCCTGGGCGCCGCAGTCGGGCCCGGGCCCGGGGGAGGCGCGGGGAGCAGGGCGGCGGCGGGGCTCGGGGACGGCAGGAGCGCCCCGCCGGCGTGGGGGAGTCGGTACGCGGGGAACCCCGCGCTCTCCCCGAACTGGAGCGGGCTGGACCCCGCCGCGGCCATCTCTGCCGACCCCGTGCGCCGCCCGGAGCGCCGCGGACTAGTTATACCGCCCGGGGCTGAGGGGGGGGCGCGCGGGGCGGCGCGATCAAAGGTGGGGACTCGGGGAGGCCCGTGTCTCTTCGGGGTGCGAGCCCGCCCCCGGCCCCGTCAGACGCCGGTGGGGAATAAATCGCTTCCGCTGACCGTGGGGTGGAGGGAGGGAGGCGTGAACTTGGGCCCCGGGGACCCCCTCCGGGCCCCCCCCCACCCGGTCCATCCGCCCCGCCGGCCTCGCCACCTCAATCAACATCCCCAAGGGGAGGTTTGCTCGGGGAGGGACACCCGAGGGGCCGAGAGCGTGGGCGGGGTGCAAGCAGATCCCCGGCCTCGGGAGTCGGTCGCCCATCCGGGAGGCCTGTCTGTCTCCCACTTGGCCAGGGCCTTGACTTGCCCGCGTCCTCCTGCGGGCCTCCCAGGTGTTTATTCACCCCCCTGCTATGTGCTAGACCCTGTACCAGGTTGGTCAAACAACCCGGCCGCTGGCCTCTGCGTGCCTCCCTAGCACATTCTGAGTCAGAAGGAGGGTGCAGATAAAGGGACCTCAAAGGGAGGCAGTAAACTCATCCTCAGCAGCAGGGGAAAGTGGGGGAGCGCTAGACCCGTTTGCCTGGAATGCCCCTGTGACCCAGAGGCTAGTGTACACGCAGGGTGCAAAACGGGCCACGTTAATAGACACGCCATTTGGCCTTTCTGGCGGTGCCTGCAGCGTTTGAGACTCACCTACTGAAAGGGAGGAGATGAAAGGGGCTGGCTGAGGTTTCTACTCCTCTTTCCTCTGCCCTTGCAGACGACGTCATTAAGGTTCCCATTTTATCCTGATTTGCACTACGGTTATGGTTATGTACCTACTTATCTCCCTAGATTATGAAGTCTTAACAGAAACCCATTTCTCTCAGTGCTTACTTTATACAACTACTGAGTGAGTCTACCCAGGGTCTGCTTTGTACATCCCTTATGCGGCGCACTCCATGCTAACATCTGTTGGACCCACTTTCTAGGAAGAGGAACTGTGATCCAGTTGGGGAACTGCTCTGCCAAGGGGCAAGTCCTCAGGAGAGGAGACCCTGATTCACCAGGACCATTCCCTGGCACACAAAGGGCTTCCGTGGGGAGGGTCTGTCAGAGCACAGCCCCCCCTGCGTCTCTCCATTTAGGTTCTAAAAGACAATCTTAGCTTAGATGTTTTCACTCTGGATGGACTTTCCAGGAGTCAAAGCAGAAAGTGTTCTTGTGCTGCTACTAGGAGGGCTTCTGTGCCTGATTCTGTCCTGGTTGGCGTACAGATGGGGTGTCAGGGCCTTGTGCCAGACTCTGTGCAGCCTGGGAGGCTCGGATAGGCACCCTGATAATACTGCCTACTCCTTCTACCTCTTCCTTATGATTCCTCTCCCTGCCTTCCTTATCACTATGGCCCTGCCATTGGAATTTTCAGGCAGAGGACATGTGGGCATGAAAGGTCTGTCCCTCCATTTTTCCATGCTTATTTATTCTTTCATTCACTCGAAAAGCATCATATGAAGTGTCACTGCCCTGGACAATGCTTTAGTGTATTCCTACGAAGGAAAAACACCCCAAGTCAGCAGATCAGGAAACACCATCTAGACGGAGGCCCAGAAGACTCCAGCATCTCTGTGCAGCTGGCCTCCAGATGTGACTCACATCGTTTCCCTTGCCACTTCAGGAGAGTGAAGCCCTACCCCTCCCCAATCTTGAGGTTATTGTCTCTCAGTCACACTGGGCTCAATAGGTTGCCAGTTGCAGGAAGTGGTGATGCACCAGATCTCTACAGACAGGTTCCATTGCCGTAGCTCCCAGGATCAGTAGGCCAACCCTGGGAGAAAACCAGAGGTTAGTGGCTGCTGGCTGCTGACCACCAGCTGTGATTTATTTTTTTTTTAAAGATTTATTTATTTATGCATAGCAGAACTGGGGTACAGGCCAAAAGTGTGGGGGTGAGAGGATTCACCAGAGACAGAGTGGGGAACAGAACAGGCAGGTTGAAATACACTGCTGAGGGGAGCAGCGGGTAAGTCAGGAGAGGTCTGCTGCGCCATGTTGGTAGCTTCCTGGCCAGGGATCGAACTAGTGCTACAGTGGCTACGGACAGCTTCATAGGTTGTGTCTTAATCCCTTGCGCCAATAGGAAGGCCCCAGCTGCAATTTAACAGCCTGAGATGGCCTGGTAATCCAGAAACTCCGCCCAGGAATCAGAATCAAAGGAAGTCTCCATTCTGTTTGGATATTTCCTAGAGTCCTGTCTAAAACTCACTCTTCAGTGACTCTCTGCTCACTCGAGAGCCTCGCCCCCAGCAGCTGCCTGTTTTAACAGCAGGCCTGGAATAGGGGCCTGTGGACACGAGTGGTCATGAATGGAAACTGGTGGGGGTGTGGTGAAGCAATCGAAACATGTTAAAAAACAGCCCTCTGTCTTTTATTTTTTTATTTTTATTTTTTTTTAATAGAGGCATGTTTTATTTGTTTGTTTGTTTGTTTGTTTGTTTATACATGCACTGGGTACAGTCAGAAGCGCGGGAGGGTGAGAGAATTCACCAGAGCCAGAGCGGGGACCAGAGCAGGCAGAAGGACCCAAGTACACTGCTGAGGGTGTTATAGAGCAGCCCTGATTTTGAACGGGTTTCTGGCTCTGGGTCCTCACCCGCGCTTAAAAGGGACTTATTAATACTCCACTACAGACACACACAAAAGATTAACGAAAGGTTTATTTACAAGGGAAAAGGAAAATGTACAACTCAGGGAGAAAATATGGAAATAAAGTCTTTAATGCGTCCTACCCGATCCGCTGACCTGGAAACCCAAAGTCACTCTCAGAGCTGGCCAGACACTGCAAGCTGGCGGAGAGCCAAAATGGGAGACCCCCCCCTCCCCCTCAAAGCCCAAGTGTCTGCCTTTATATCAACCTGGCTACTTAACCCCACCCTCAGGTCCCAGCCACCTTCCCTTTGGTGGTGATGGGATTTGGAGTTCCCAGTGTCTTTGGCTTTGGCCTGGGGTGGGGGTGGAGTCCACAAAGCCCAGTGGGCAGCAGGAGAGGTCTGCGCACCATGTGGGACCCATGTGGGATCCATGTGGGACCCTCCTCTGGTGGCCGGGGAGCAGCCGGGGATCGAACCAGCGCCATAGAGGCCGCGAGCAGCTTCGCAACCCAGCGCTCAACCGCTGCGCCACCGGGGAGGCCCAGCCCTCTGTCTTTTAAACTGGTGTGAGACGCTCCAACATTATTCCTATGAATGCCTTCAACAGAGCAAATTTTTTTTCTCTATGTAATTCCTTGCCTTAATAAATATGTAATATAAATTTAAGCAAACTTCAATTTTGTATATTTATAAACTACAAGGTTAAAAAAAAATAACAAAAATCCAGCATTCATTTCAGTTTGATAATCCTCCAAATAGACTGAACAAGAAATTATCTTATTTTCCTTGCGAGTTTGTGTGGCATTATCATTTTCTGTATCGAAGTAAGATTCCAGTCTTTACCCCTCTCTTTTCCTTTGGCTCTAAAATGAGGTTTTAATTGTGTGTACTTGTTTGTCCCAAAAACTAACCTCAATGAGGATGCAGGTTTGGAATTGGGAGTGCAGGGTTGTCAAAGGAGACTTGATTTTATATCCTTTGGTGCTGCTTCATTATCTTTTTAAGCATGTGCACATATTGTTACAAGTACATTTTGAAGGTGATTCATTTTTTGGTGATTAAGGCAATATGGTATTCTGAGTTGAATCCTGGAAAATGGGAAAAAGATCACAAGGGGGAAAATTTGTGCTATCTGAATTAAAAAAGAAACTTTCATTGAAACAGGATGTAATTTAATATGTCTGGAAATGGATTGGGACTAGATTTCCCACTTACCCTGGGATTTTCCTTGGCTAAGGAAAATAGAAGATTAGGAAGATAGAAGCATCTACAAGATCTCTGCAGAAGCTCTGCCACATACATTCACTCAAAGTTGAAGTTTTCTTCTGTTTCTTTTTTGTTTGATAGGCACCTGTAAAATCATGAGTGGTTTTCATTACATTTAAATTCTAGATTCCTTACTCAATTATCCTGCCGAACACATACAATGAATATTTAATTCTTTCTTACCAATATCCCTAGTTGGAAACTGGAAAGAGTCTGATGAGACCAACTTTATACCTGAAGCATACATCCTTTTCTCTTGTAAATAAACCTTTTATTAACCTTTTGTGTGTGTGTGTAGTAGAGTATTCATAAGTCCCTTTAAAGCGCGCGGGTGAGGACCCACAGCCAGGAACCCGTTTTAATATCGGGGTTGCTCTATAACACAATCACAAACACAAAATGGTTATTTTTTCCCCCCATAAGATAGATTTTGAACCCACTGTGCTGCATATTTTAAAATGAGGATCCCTTTGCTTCTTTCAGTTATTCCTACCAAAGTTTCTGAGCAGGAAGGTCTTCCCTGTGAGAGTGTCAGGGCCCCTGTTTACATTGCTCTCCAATAAAGTTAAAAGCGCATTTTAATCTCAAAGAAAGAAACCATAAACTTTCCATGCTTCTGCCTGTTTACCTGAAATGAAGAACTAAAACAACTGGCAGATATTTTGCCCTCAGAGCTGACATTTGTCTGACATTTCTGTCTGCAAATATATGTATTTTAAATGGCCTAGTGTGACTGAGGAAGCAATTTTTTTTTCATTTTAATTGATTTAAATTTAAATGGCCACATGGTTAGCAGCTACCATATTTTATTTTTTTTAATTTATTTATGCATACAAAAACTGGGGTACAGGCCAGAGATACAGGGGACAGGGTTGGGGGGGGGCGGTGAGAGCATTCGCCAGAGACGGAGTGGGGAACAAAACAGGCAGACTGACTGAAGTACACTGCTGAGGGGAGCAGCAGGTGAGACAGGAGTGGTCTGCTGCGCCATGTGGGTTGCTCCCTGGCCGGCTGGGGATTGAACTCATGCTGCAGAGGCTG